TGTTAGTGAAATAAAGTATTTGCGGAAAGAGAGATGAAACAATAGGTATAAATTAATGCTGCCAACAAAAACAGAATAATAATAATAATTTCACTTTCTGTATTTAATAATGAAATTAATTTTTTACTACGTAATGTAATGGTAATTAACAAATGTAGCATAGTATCCTTTGAACGTTTAAATCCTACCGAGTAATTATAGTTCGGTGTATAGATCATTGAAAGAATTAAGTGTAAAAACATATGACATTCTTCAATTCATTTTCAGATTGCATTTTATTAGATTGTTTTAACATAAATAATTCCAAATGGCTCATATATTTCTTGTTACGGTATTACAGAATAAACTCAACAGAAATAACAAATTTCTTTGATCACGTACCCACAAAATCATGATGTTCCTACAAACAAGTAACGTGTAATTAAAATCGTAGTCGAAAGAACTGACACTAAGCACCATATTGTTGACACAACGTCTCTTACCCGTGACACGATAATTTGAAATATCCTTGTGAATTTCATCGGTGCTGTGACACATGAATTATTCATATAAAAACGTATGTGAAGGAATAAGTTCAGTGACTCAAAAGGATCCGGAACACTCGTGTAAACAGCTCACATTTGAACTTTTCGAATGCAACGACACTGATACGAAAGAAAAGGAGAAAGTTTTCGTCGTTCAAAAATGTCCTGAAGAACAATAAATCGCTAACGGACATGGAAAAAAGGCTGTTTGACAATTGAAGGAGAGGTTTGAGAGAAGAGGACTTTTCTTTTGAAACATTTCGTGAATATGCGAAAGAGGTGAACAGGCACTATGGGGGAGAAGATATATCTTTTTACGATACTAGTTTTATCATCGACAGTAACGAGTTCCTTGACTGATATTTTTCGGAATATGCTTCATTTTGCAAAGGTAAGCAGTTTTTGATAAGGGATCTAGAGAAAATTTGTATTTACTGCCAATTTTTAATTACCTGATCCACGCCGTTTTGTTTAACCCGCTAGCAATGGTCCATTTGCAAAATTATTGAGTTCATAATACGCATGACCATTCTGAACTCCGTTATTAACGTATCTATGAAAAAATGTCAAAGGAGAAACATAAATGATCTTCAGTGCTCCATATCTGTAGGCATTTCGATTTTTTCAAGTGCATCGGTGCATGTGCAACTAACAATTGTACCATTTCTTTAAATGGAAATGCATATTTTTTATAGCAATATTTCTCTGTTCATTCTACGTAAAAAATTGTTAGAGTATCATGGACAAAAATTATTAATTCTCGAGACATTGTTAAATAATGTCTTCATTAAAGAAGATGCTCAAACGCTTCTCCATTACATTGCAAATATTTCTGATAACGTTTTTTTATCGTTTTCATAACTGCGTTTAAATTTTCTGTCCTTATCGCTGCAATTTTAAGTATAATTCTTTCAGATCCTCAACAGTATTTACAGGATTTGAATAAATTCTGGGGAAAGGAACAACAAATCGACTTTTGCTTCGTTTGAACCAATCGTTTTCATTTACACTTTATTTTTCGAGAATCATTTCCCGTGCAGTATTAAAACATGAGACCGAACGAAATTCTTTAACGTATTAAAGAATCCTAAGCTCGCCAACTCTTACTCATTTTTTTGTTATAAATGCATAAATATCACAATCTATTTACGAGCCAGTATCAAATACCATTGTGTTTTCACAATGTTTCTGTTACTCAGGTGATTTTAACACGATGAAATACCTTGATCTGGAATGCTTCTAAAACTTATGATAACTTTTCGACTTAATAATTGAAGTTTTTGTGATGACTTGTTTTCATTGTAAATAGTATGATCGTCACAGTATCGAGCGTATTTTAATTTTGAATATTTCAATGGAAGTGAAAGTCAATACATTGACAAATTAAATTTATCATTGGTTAATTTGGTAACCCGGTTGACGAGTAGGAAAGTTGTTCGTAGAGATCGCTTGAAAAAATGGTTTAGCATGCGGGAACTGAAACTGTGCGAAGAACTGAACGTGATGCGAAAGCTAATCTTGATGCCGTTAATCGGCTGGTTTTACAGTGTCCCCTACCTCGAAATCCTCCATTCATAATAATTTATATCCATTTGATGACTCAAAACGATGCCAGGTTCGAAAAAAACTAAGCCTAATAGATTCTTTTTTACTAATAATTAGACTACGGATCTTTATCTTTTGAGCCATTTGTGTGAAATACAAGAAAGCATACAGGATTGATGTACCGGTTATGACCGCGTTAAGGATTTATACGAATTTCAACGAAAATATTTTTGAAGTCTTGTATTACATAAGAAATGCGGAAGTTTAATATCTTTAATTTTGATATGTAACTTGGAATAGGGTGATAAAATGATTAAAGAATTATTCCATTACAAAAATAGTACAATACGCATTTTTCACCGTTTTTGGCCACTTGTACATCATATTTCCGGATATATCTACTACCATTTCTGGTCACCTCAAATCCCTCTATTCTCGGTTGTACCACCCATGACACCAAATTTTGTATATTCTCGTGGTACGCCAACTAAAAAGAGGTTAATTTTCGATCTCTTGGTATTTGAAAAAAATTAGTTTAGGATAAGTATTGATATATATCAATACTTTTTTTTATATAATTTTTTTTATATATTTATATATTTATATATTTTATATATTTATTTTTAATTATATATATATATATATAATTGATGCGCACACATAGCATATTCGTAAATAGTGATGTAAAATTTTCTATATTTCCTGTCAGTTTTTAAATTACTTCTGAGTAATTCAGCACTCATCATTCAGTAATAACACTCAATTTTATGGGAGCATAATATCATCGATTGAGAATGTTTTTTAAATTATGGGATCATTTAATGTAGCAGGCTGCAATTTCAAAAGAATATATTAACTTCTATAAAGATTAAAATTCCATAGATTAATAATTATAAAAGCAGAAAAGTGTGCATATTTGCAATTGGTGGATGCATAATTAATTGCTAGCACGAAGAATGCCATTATTCTAAAATATAATTTCTCAGTATTAATTTTCCAGAAAGGATAAAGTTTCATTCAGCACATAAATCTGTTCACGAAAAGTAATTTTATTATGTTTCGATTGATCTAATTAATAATAAGGCGGAACCTAACGGGATAACGCAACTTTACTGTTGTTATGTCAAACCGGAAGGACGACTAGACGGCCGAAAAGAAAAGTGCTTTGCATGCCGAACAATTGGAGAAAGGCCAGAACTTTTCTTTTCGTTTGACTGCCGAGTCTGACTTTGACTAAACAGGAGTCCCACTTTGACTGACACGCATCACTGAAATGCGAGAAAGCAATCCGAACTGATGATCTCGACATTTTCTGCCATTTAATGTACGATAAAAAAATCAAAAGTTTGTTTATTGAAGTAAAAAAAGACAATATGATTAATTACGTTAATTATAGCCATAAATATAAATAACATTATTATTACTTTAAAATAGTAATCGATTTCTGTGCGTGTATTACTTTGAAAGTGTAAGTAATTTTGGAAGAGTGAGTGTAAGTAATTTTTCCATCCATTAGTATCATTTCCTAAATATAAATTATTTAAAATAAAAAATGAATAATAATATTGTTAATGTTAAATGATTTTAAATATGTTCATGCTTGCAGTTTGAAAATAGCAGAGGTGAAACGATTTTATATCGAGGTCAAATTTTTTATTAGTCATTAAACTTATTATTGTTTAATGTTACAAATAGAGCAACAAATAATTTCACGAAAATCTTGTTCATATTATTTTATACGACTATGGAATTATATTATTATATATAGAATTATACTATTTCTTCCAAAATATATGACATAATTAGTCAAA